TTGTTCAGATATGAGATTTTTCATTATAACTTCTCCATTTATGCAGCTACGAACATGAAATTTTGCAATACTTGCACCCATTATGAACAGAATACTTACAGTGAAAATTACAAAGATCGGGTCACTATAACCTATAGCTCCCATACAACTGATTGTTCAGATATAAAATTTTGCGTTATAACTCCTCCATTTATATAGCTAGGAACATGAAATTCCGCACTGTTTTCAATAATTATCAACAGAAGACTTACAGCGAAAATAACAAAGATCGGGTCACTATAACCAGCAGCCCCCATACAACTGATTGTTCAGATATGAGGTCTTTTATCATAACTCCTCCATTTATGCAGCTAGGAACATGAAATTTCGCACCATTTTCACTCATTAACAGAATACTTACAGTGAAAATAACAAGGATCGGATTACTACAACATATATATTCCATACATCTGATTGTTCAGATATGGGATTTTACTGTAAAACTCCTTTATTTGAACAGCTAAAACCGATAAATTTCGTAATATATTTTATAAATAATAATACAAAGTCTACTGAGAAAATCGTCAAAATCTATGCTGTATAAGCTTTATCTCCTATAGCACTGATTGTTAAGATACCAGTTTTTGCCATATATCTCCTTTATGTACGAAACTAAACCCAATTAATTGTTCGCACGAGGCGATTTTATAGGCAACAAAAGTTGAATACGAAGTTGAATGAGAAGTTGAAAGTGAAAAAGTTGCCATCCCTATTCAGACGAGGCGATTTTCGATTCAACACGAATCGTTATTTACATTATTGAAAATGAATTTAAATCGAAAAATTTTATCAATTGGCGTAAATTTGGTAAGCCAAGCGTTAGTAGAAGTGCTTTTAGCGAAGCTGAAAGATAAAATAAGAGTAAAAAAGTAGAAAAGAAGAAAAAGTATGTATACAGAACAGTGTTGGCATTTTTGGTACAATTGTACTTGTTTGATACAATTTCATTTACAATATACTTTCCTACTACGCAGTACTTTTTAGTACAATTTTGTAATCAATACTAAAAATATAAAGCTTTGAAAATTCACAGCAAGAAATTTTTTGTATTCTCTTTTGTTCGCCTGTTCGTATTTACCTTTGTAAGTTTTGAAAAGTGGCTTGAACGAACCAGTATACATAATATAGCCTAGGCAAATTTTTAAAGAAACTTTTGGATACTAAGTTTTATTAAAAGAAAATGTCTAAGTCAGCTTCATATAGAAACAAAGTCTTCGTTAGTTATAAGAAGAGATTTTCTTAAATATAATACCTTTACGGCACTCACATATTGACAAGATTTTACTATTTATTTTATTATTCTTTAATTTTAATTATCTGTTTATAAAATATAATGTATTCTTTAACAAAAACTGTATAAACCCAAGATGAAATCTTTGCGAAACATCCAAAAGACAACATACTTTCGTAAAAATTTCGAGCGTTATTAATATTCTTTGGTTTTTAGCCCATTCAATTTTAGTATAATAAAGTGCAAGTTTAAAGTAGCTGGGACTTACCGTTGAACTTGGCAATTTTTTTTGTCGACGATGTCAGCTGTCAGAAAATTAGCAACACCTTCATCAAAGAAATCTTAAAAAACTTAGTTATATTAAAATTTAATGCGCTAAAAAACCACACTCTCAAAATAAATCTGGGAAATCTAATTAAAAAGTTCGAAATTTTTACGAAAGTGTGTTAGTTTTTTTTAATGTTGCACAAAGTTTGAACCTTGGATTTGTACGGCTTTTCTTAAAATATAAACAGTATTAAAATTGAATAATAATAAGGTAAATGGTCAAATCTTGTAAAGTTTTGATAAGCACTTGAAGTGCTATTAAAATGTCAAATTTTAGTACTGAATACAAAGGAAAATGTCTCTTTTCTCCATTAATAATAACTTAAATATGCCATTTGTTAAGATGTATACCTGAAAATGTGTACATACATATTTGCGTTAAATGCAGTACATGTGCGCGTGGAATCAATTTGTAAAAGTGTAAAATACGTAAACTTATGTACATAAACAATAAAACTTTCTCATGAATACCATAAAATCATTGGTCGTGAAGGGAATATACTAAGAAAATATATGAGCGAATTAAAAAGTATATGCAATTTATAGCCGAAAAGTACATTTTTTGTATAGATTTCGTACTGAAGGAACAATTTTATTTCCCAACACTGATACAGAATGTAAACAAACACAGGGTTGCATGGAAAAAAAATTGAACGAGCTCAAAGTTGGCTGGCGACCAACTTTGTTGAAAGCGATTAGTTGAAAGGCCGTTCGGACGAGGCGATTTTTGCTTTCAACTAAAAGTTGCCTATAAAATCGCCTCGTGCGAATGCCCTAATACCGATCACAATGAAATGAAAAACATACTAGTGTCCGATTTGTTATCTTCCGAAAATTGCTGTTTGTAACAGCTATGCTCAGCTGCATCACATCACCATTTAATAATTGCATTTAGTTCATTAACTTCAGGAATAGAAAGCAATACCTCTTATTGTGCAAGACACAATCTTCGTAAGCTGTGATCAATTAGGGATTGCAATTCAATTTCAGCATAGGTTTCCGTTACGGTAATTTTTTCAGGATAGCATAAAACCTTTGATTCTTTTAGACAGTTATATGAAGGATATATTTTCCTGTTAACTGCTGAAGCGTGCTGCCGGATCATTGAGTATTCATGTGTTGAAAGATTTGAGTCAACTATCATCGCAATTGCTTGATCTGGTGTCAAACTTTTCTTATTTTCATCCGATAGTCGGGACTTTTTGTATGCAGTGCCTCTTGATGGTGATGCTGAGGACAACTCCTCAACTATTTTTGCAGAATTTCTTTTTCCTGATGATCGTAATTTCAATTCCGCTGCCATTAACAGTTGATCATTATCGACATTGTTCATTAGTTCCTTAGCTTTTCGCTTTCTTGTGCGTATAGATAACTCAGCGAAGGTTTTTGTTGGCCTCCCCGGCCTAGGAATATCACGAGAAGTGCATGGCTCAACATCAAGGATACAATCTTTGAAATCATGATTTTTTGATAACCATTGAGACTCTTGCTCAATAAATTTTTTTGTAGATCGGCCACAACGTTCCCATCTCATACGAATATCATGACTTAGCCTCATGATGTATTGTTTTAGTTTTAAATGATCCACATCTCTTCCAATTACACTCAAAATATGGTTTAGCATAGCTTTGTGCTTTTCTTCATTGTTGCTTTTTAGCCAAACTTCAAAGAGTGGATTTCGTGGTACAGCCATAATTAATTGATGATAGGGCAAATTTGGTACAGCGCAGTTGGTTATACTTCAATGCAATCCTTT